ACAGCCAGGCCAGTACTCGGTCATCTTCTGGTCGTTCTACACAAGTTTAGCTGGGCTCCCCAACGATGAAGTCAGATTCTCAGGGGGCAGGAACCCCTGGCCCGCACTGGCCCACAACGTGCCTCCACCCCAAGCTGCTCACGCGTCTCTGAGTACATCCAGAACGTTCTTTGTGGACCGCGTGTCTGTCGGGAAGGCAGGTAAGGGAGAAGTTACTGCTGGGTGAGCAAGAGGCGGAGGGCCTTTTCCAGCTGGGTCCCAATTCTCCTTTTGAAATTGCAGAGGCCAGGGAGAAAGCATTTTCAGCTCAGAAAAAGCTAGAAACACACTTGCTGGGTCTGACACTGGACTGGAGCCTGGCGAGGATTCTGAGGGGCCGAGGGCCCCTCCATGAGTTCTCTGTGCCTTTGCAGAGGGCCAAGGCAATCCCCAGTCCACATTCTCACTGCCCCTAGGCTCCGGCCCACCCCAGGCAGCACCAAGACGGGTGGGGACAGGTCTTGAAGATTTCCCGCTGACTGTGCCCCAAACTCGCATTCAGATGGTCTCAAGGAGGGTTTCTTTCCTTTTGATTCAACTGGAATTGCAGGCATTTAGAGCTAGAAAGTTCACTGGGGTCTGGGATCTGTCTCCCCACGCTGCCCGGAAGGAGCAGGGGCCCCGAGCTGGGGGACTCAGGCGGCATCCCAGGCAGTTACGGCCCGGCTGGCACCGGAGCCCTCGACAAGAAAGAGACCCCAGGTCTCGGGCTGCCCCGCCCGCAAGCCTCACATCATAGTCTTGCCTTCCAATCTGTTTTAAAAGAAATGTTTATTTTTGCATTCTGAGATACTGGTATATCATTTCCCCTCTTTAAACAAGCCTGTTTATAGGGTCCCACAAGGAAGTGTAAGGTTGTGTTTTTAAAGTGAAAATACATACTAAAATTTGGCAGATTAAGAATCCTAAATGTGTCACATATTGGAAGCATGAGTGGAAGAGGATATTTGGCAAATCTTGTCGAGACACTTAGCACGAATAGCGCAGTCCTTGATCATATACCCTATACATGCTGGGTGTATCACATGCACACGCCTCAATGAGATACGCCTTTAAAAACTCAGAACCAGGTAGACTGCTATTAAACTGTCTCTGTATTAAGACAGATGAAGTCACAGGAATTCACTTAGTAACGGATGGGAAGCTGCATTGAAGCACTTTAACAATGGTTGACATTTAGGTGATGCTCTCCAAGTAAATAAAATAACTTTCCTGCTGATGAGAGGAAAAGCTTTCTACTTCATGCCATTGAACTTTCTAAGGAATCATCACTTTAGTAGGAGAAGGGTGCAGATCATTTACAGGAAGCTGTTATCCTGCTGAGCCAGCTGGTCCCTGGAAGTCCAGCCCCTCTGGGAGGGGCGGCCAGCACGACTAGTGATTGACAAGCCCTCCGGTCAGTGCAGGACGCTGAGTCTGAGCAAGTGCAATTCCAGCTCCACTGGTGTCCTCACTTGCTTGTGGTCGAACTTCAAGACAACAGACACCGACTTTGACTGCTGTCACCATCGTGGTGTCAGTGGTCCCTCCAGGTGGAGACACAGTCAGATTCATCTCTGAGCATCCACTGGGTTCTCTCTTCAGGGTCTTTGGACTTAAAGCTTTGCCCTTGAGCAAAAACATCTGTCTTTCTCCCCAAACAGATCTCAACCTGAGAAGCCTTCTTCATGGATGGCTTCTCAGTCTGCTGCAGACAACCATGCGGACAGTTTGGAGAACATTTTAAAAGCTCTGCCTGTTCAGTTGTGCAGTGGCCACTGTGTGTCTCAGAAGCCATGGGAAGTGGCCCCACCATCTGCATCAGGGGGATGGACATGGCTGTGAGGTCAGCAGACAAAGGCAGGGACCCTCTGCTGATGCCCCTTCTTACGAGCGAAGGGGACGGCCCACAAGGACTGACCCCCGGTTCTCTGTAGAACAAATACCCTCCTCTCTAGCTGAGGTGTTAGACCCAGGACTAAGAAGGGCCGCAGACAAACTGGAAAGGGGAGATCCCATTTGTTCTCAGAGGTGAGGTGAGCCACTGTCCACAGAGATCCTGGGCAAACAGTTGGAGAACAAGTCGGCTGTATCGTAAGTTTGCTTTCTCTAGCAAGTTCCAGCTTTGTTCCAGATCCTCCTGTAACACGGCAAACCCGAGATGAGCTCCCGGGATGTGCGGAGCACAAGTTCTCGTGGGCTGTTCCCTTCGCCCCGGGGTCCTGGCCTCCCTGCCCATCCCTGTCGCCAGCCACCCTAGGCTTTCTTTGGTGCCTTGCGTTTTTTCCCCAATTCAGGGCTTGACACTCGCTGTTCCTCCTGCCTGCAGAGCTCCCCTCCCTGCCCTCTGCCCAGACTGTTCCCTGTTTAATCCTAAATCTCCCTTCCTAGGGAGGTGGCCCCTGACCCGCCCCCTCTGCTCCTAGCGTGCCTGTTTCACCCTCTGTCACACTCAGCAGACCTGTCACTTTCTCATCTTTTCTTCCTTCGAGACGTCAGGCTGTGAAGGCAGGGCTGGGCCCTGCTCACTGAACAAAGGAGGAGATGAGTGACGGGTGGAGGGGAGGGGCCTGCACCTGCGGACGCCCGGAGAGGCTCAGGGTCTGTCTTCACACCTGCAGATTCGAGGGTGGGAGCAGGCGAGCTCCAGCGACCCCCGGCTCCGACACTGCCATCTTTGTGACTCCTGCCCAGCCCCCCCGCCCCCTTGGCTCCTGGATGTCGGGCTGCACACTGTTTGTGTTCAGGGACTGAGATGCTGGTGAGGCTACGGATGAAGGGAGGTGAAGGTGACTGCTGCTCGGTGGCAGCGGAATAGAGGAAAAGCAGCCTATGTCAACTGCACGACGGTCATCCAGTTCCAGCCCAAGAAACACAGCCACACACTTGGCCATACAAGGTCTCCTGGGATTAAAGCCTCACAGCCAGACCGACCGAATGTCATCTCTGAAGGTCTAGAAAACCGCGATGCTGGGTTTCGTCTCAGGAGAAGTGAACTTACAGTGTGGTGTTTCTCATTTTCTCCGTGTCGGCACTGCAAAGCAACCTCTAGACCTCGGCCTGAACCCCGCCCTCGGAACAGTCACGTGCGAGTCTGTGAGGCTGGCCGATGGGGGACATCTCCTCGTGGGCTCCCTCGTGGGCTCCCTCGTCCCAAGTCCCTCGGCTGGGCCTCGTCAAGCACGTGGAATGCTTTCCGACAGACCACAAGCCACCGCCCCCAGGCATGTCACTTCTGTCAATGCTCTGGAGTCACCTTTGGGTCCTCTGAAGTGGGGACACCCCTGCAAGGCTCTGCCTGCCAAATGCCCTGGGAATTTGGGGACCTGCTCATGGCTTTTACGTCACAGAATTCCCCTTCATGACTTTCCAGATTCCAAATGCATGATTAATTTTATCCAAGTTGCAAAAATTAGCTGTTTATTAAGGCTTTGGGCATGTTCAGACCCATCCTCGTGGTTTAAAGAACATAAAAGCCGCCCGCTGTCTAAGGCCTGCAAAACGAGGTCAGGATGCTCGCTCCTCTGTCTCTGTGACTAAAACCTGGAGGGAGAGCCCCCCGTGGAGCTGTTACTCTGCTGGCGATGCGACACTTTGCAGGGAGAGGGTCGACTCTGGACTGCAGCTTCCGAATAGCAGCTGCTGTAGTTAATTCAGTACAAATCAGAGGTGAGGCCTGCTGGCTGGTACTGTTGTCAGGCATAGCTGCTCTGGAAGGACCACGTGCCTTACTGAGGCTAGTGGGACGCACCCCAGAGCCGCACACCTGGGCTGAGACGCTGCCCGTGAGTCAGCTGGGGGGCATCCGCTCACCCGCTCACCATCTGCTGAACGGTATCCTCACACTGCAGCCCTGACCTACACAAGGACCACCTCTAGGGGTGACAGATCTGGACCCACCAACAAACCGCATCGGCCTCACAGGCACTCAGGACTGTGCCTACGGGCACCAGCATCCTGAGTCGCGACGTGAACCACTACGAGTTTCGCCCGTTCTGGACGCACTGTCACAACAAAGTCTACAATCTGTGGAGGGATGGGCAGACGTGGTCTTAACACGGGAGTGAGGACGAGGACCCGGGCCCTCACGCTCAGTCACAGGACTGTGAGAATTACAGTGACGGGGGAGTGGTTCAGTGGCAGGGCGGTGACAGTCACAGCTTTTTTTGGACCTGTAACTATGTATGTGAGTCTGCTCCCAACCCACATGGGAGCATGAATTCACGCGGTATTGTTTACGAAGGTAGACAAGAAATCGCCCAGTGTGTGGGTCCCTCACATGGTCCCCAGAGGCCACGCCAGCTGTTTAACACCTTCTTCCCATGTTTTGCACTGATGTGTTTCCGAGGATAAATGCACACAAATACTCTTTTTGACTTGCAGCATACTCAAAGTTCAGAGCTTCCCAAACTGGCTAAATGCTAAAAAAGAAACATCAGGAGAGCTTTACAAACGCATTTACGAATCATCACGCCACGCTTCTCACTACGTCAGGATGCGCAGCGCTGAGCAAGGTCTTTCTAAAAACCCTCAAACTCTCCAGGTGGCTGCAACTCAGTGAGTGACCCTGGGGAAGCACTTCTCAAAGCTCGGCGTGCACTGGAGTCAGCTGGGGGATTACGTGGAAGATTCTGATTCAACAGGTTTGGGGAGGGGCCCAAGATTCTGCATTTCCAACAAACTCCCCAGTGGAGCCGAGGCTGCTGATCCTGAGACCGCGCTCAGCAGCAGGTGGTAGGCACCTGCCCCCAGGTGTGCGCCCACACGCGGCCACCTCTGTGGGTGCACGGGGGGGCCCAGGCCTCCACCGCAGGGCGCGCCCTCTACCTCTTCAGTCCTGCCCTACTCCCTGCTGCCCCCAAATCTCTACAGGTGCCTGGACCTGCCTTTGCAAAACGGGTTGGACCGTCCCTGCCGGCCCCCCCACCGCCCTTTCCTGGCCCGGCAGCAGCAGGAAATGAAAGTGCATTTATCACACCGAATGTGTCTGGTGTAGAAGGCTTTTCAGGAGATAATTCTGTTTATTGTCAAGGACCAAGAAACAAAGTCTGGAAATGCTCTCTACAAGGGCTGAGGAGCTGCGAGAGGGGCGGGTGGAGGAGACACAATCATACACAGCGTTCTTCTGAGGAGCCCAGCTCTTCCTCTTGACACTGGACCCATGGAGAGACGGCTGCCCCTTGCACTCTGGCTGTGGAAGAATGGAAACCTCGCTCAGTCTGTCAGATCCCAGAGGGCGGGCAGAGCCAGGGGCTATTTAGAGCTGATGCAGGAGGCCACATGTGGTCTGCGCGGAGCCCCCGAGCCAAGCAGGATGGATGCTGAAGGGTGGTCCACGGCGGCGGGTCCCACTCCCTAGGTCCTGGGCTTCTCTTGATTCTCAATGATAAGCTTGTCAGTCGAATACAGTTGGCCGATGTGGACCTGGAGGCAAAGAGAAGACACGGATCAGGAACCAGGGACTCCGTCAGCTGCTAAAGCTCAGCAAGGCACTTCCAGTGTCTCGGTGTGGACAGGCGCTGCTGCAGGCCATCCTGGGAACTGCACCGAGGGGCAGCGTGCAGACACCAGACTGCGCTGGCTAATTCCCGGCACCGTCTACCCCACTCTCCTCGCTGTGAGGAGGGGAGATGCCCACTCACTCCTGTTTGCCGTCCTGAGCAGGTGAGACTGCCCACCAGGCCCCCTGAGCCACCCAGCTGTGTGCACAGCCACTCCTCCCCCAGCAGGACGTCCCGCCTTTAGGACCATTTCTTCCGTCAGGACAGGCTCTCACCATGAGGCGTCAATGAGCTCTGCCCACGTGTGGGCGGGAGAGGCATCGCATCACGGGCCACGCAAGCAGCCCCGTGGACGGCACTGTTCACTCCCTCCCCGCCCCTCTCCCCCACCCTTTCCTTTCTCAGGGTCCTTCTTGAGGACGTGTCTCTGTCAGTGCCCAAAAGTTCCCACTGTCCCGGGGGATGCTGGAGCCACAGCCTGGTCCCTCCTTTGCAACAAAGGATCCTCTGTCATAATTTTTCCTCTAAACGCACTTCCTGGTTGACACTTTCTTAGGACCAGGAAGAAGAGGTGAAGAAAGCATTTCAGAGCAGTTGGCCACCCACTATGGGTAATTTGGGGTGACTGTTCTTTAAGCAAACGAGGGAATCGCCCAGAGGCTAGAGAAGCCACCCAGCGTGGCCGGGGGTCAGCATCGAGACCCTTGCTGGTTCTCCCTCCTGCCTTGATGCTCTGCTTTAGACTGGCGGCCCGGGAAAGGGGGTTATGTCAACACCACCAAGGTCCCGGGGTGCTCTTTCACTGACAGCCCCAGGAGGCCGTCCCTGTGCCTTTTGCTGGGTCTCCCAGGTCCCACTTGCAGCAAGTGCCCTGGTGGCCAGGAGCACCGGTAACTCACAAGCACTGAGGTGGGGTCGGGGGGAGGGGAGAGGTGGGAGCAGACACGTCGTCTAGAAAGGAAGCGGACGGACAGAGCGGAGATGAGGGGAGTGAGGAGGATCACGCAGGTACTGTTAATTTCAAGTGAATCCCTTAATTAAAGAAAGAGATGAAAACCCCAGCACCATTCATTCCTACAAGAGTTGGAGCCACGAGTTTTGCTCCCATGTCCTCGGTCTTCCTTCCTCCCATCAGCGTAAGAACACACGTGGCTTCTGATGCACGTGGACGGGGTGGGCGTGGATGCTGTGCACCACACTGAATAGTCACAAACCACCTCCAGCTCACGGATGGGGTCTCTAAGGACCCGTGACAATTACGAGGAGCAAGCACAGGGGCTCGTCAGCCTGACGACCTGAGAAGCTGCTGGGTGAGCTGAGGCCGAGACTACTGACCATGGAGAAGAGGACGGTGAGCGGTGTCCTCCATGCGGGGTATCACGTGGCTTTATTGTCACATACCGACTCCACAGACAAATGGACCACTGTCACTGACTTTCAGGTTAAATACCAACGATTTTAAAAGAAAAAGGAATCATTATTTTGATTTTTTTTAAAACAATGCTATGGGTCTCATTTATTTAAAACTGTATTTCTCACCCTCATATTAAAGTAGTTAATAAAGATAATTTTATATAACAGCTCAAATGGTCAGTTCCCTGATGGGAGCTGGTTTTATATTTAACTGGTCTTGGAGGTTCATCAGGAACCGCTCTAAGAAGCGTCTGAAATTCCATGTTCTGGGAGGGCCCGCCTGGGTTCATCGTTTTCTCCTGGCTCCGGGGGCAAGTGGGGGTCAGGAGGGCTCCGGGCTGTTCAGAGATGGATGGGAAAGCTGTGAGGAGCAGGCAGTGCAGGTGGGGACAGAGGTGGGGCCAGACGGGCTCCTTCTAAAGCTCAGCTTCTGGGACTAAGACGCTTGTCCTGGACGTAGGACCCGCCCAGTCTCAGACAGCTCCGGTCCCAGCCGTGTCCCCGAATGGCCCAGCGTCGACCCGCGTGTTCCTTATGTTCTGACACGTGGGTAGAGAAGGTGGTGCCCTGAAAGGGCCCAGTGTGGGAGGCAGGACCCCCTGGCTGTAGCCCTGGCTCTGCCGATCACCCGTGACACCACCCACCCCCGCCTCTGGCCTCAGCGCCCTCACCTGGAGCACGAGCGCCCTGGCTACTCCTAGCTGGGCTTCACGGTCCCCTGCTGCTCCAACGGTCTTTGGACCCTCAGCAAAGTTGGCAGACGTCAAAAGAAAGACGCGCGAGGTCCCTGAGCTAGTGTGGCACCTACATGGGACAAGAGGCAGCTGGGGAACCCAGCCAGGGGACATCACTGCGGACAGAGACAAGAATGGATGTGCCGCAGTGATGGGAGGTATAATGGGCTTCCTGCTGCCTCCGGGGGGGCCGGCTCTCTTCCTCCTAATGTGTCCTGCCGGCTCCCAGCAGCCGGGAGGGATCTCGTGAAGCCGGCTGTCCCCTCTCCCTGCAACCTGCCTGGACCACCTGGGTGGTCTGTGCACGGGGCCTGTGGGAGGTGATGTGCTCATTTCGTGTCTGCCTGTCCCGTCTCTGTCCCTCTGCTCTGGGAGCCCCTCAACAGCAGGGCAGGCGACCCACGCACACTGTGTCCCTGGGTCCCACAGTCCTGGCTGACAGCAGATCTGCTGTCAGGTGGACAAGAGAAGGAATCGGAGCAAAGACAGCAGAGAGGAAAGGGCTCTCCCCATTTTTCCTCCTTTCTGCCTGGAATATACACCTGAAGGATGGCTGGAACATCAGCAGCCATCTAGCACTATGAGGTTAAGTTTGATGTGGGAGCCACACACTGAAGATGAGAGGCAGGAAGGAGGTGCCTGGGTTCTGGATGACCATGGGGCCACCATACGGGCCAAACGGCTAGCTTACTTCCAACTTTCTTTTTTTTTTTTCACATGAGAGAAAAGTAAACCTCCACGTTTTTAAAGCTACAGTTGTTTGGGTTTCTTGTTATACACAACGAAACCAAACCCTGACTGATATGAATGCATGTTGTGAATTTTAATTGTAGACTATATGACTCATGATGAAAAGGTCCCTGCAGACAAGGAGGTGAGCTGCGTCCTAGGATCAGTGAAAACAATGTTCCTATCACCTGGGGAGGTGCCACTGACAGATAGTCTGGAAGTTTCTAAAGTTTAAACAAAACTACAGGGGACTTACAAAGATCTCTCCCTCAATGTTTGCTGTAGAGTATGGGGCTACTAATCTTTCAGCATTTTTTTTCCTGTCTAGTCTTTTAATTCACTTACAGATTTAAAATGTATGTGTGTATACAGACAAACAGAATATTTAAACTTGGAATCGTATCATAACTTGCTTTTTTTTAAACTTAACTTTATATCCTTATGACATTAAATACTCCTTGAAAGGATATTTTTAATTACTGTATAAAGTTCCATTGTATAGAGGTGCCATAATTTACTTAATCATTCTCATAGAATGAACGTTTACAGAATTTCCACGTATGGTAATGCGATTACCATTCTTATGTGTAAGTCTTTTACAGCATCTCTGATCTTTTTTTCTCATAAAAGGCTTCTAGACATGGAATTCTTAGGTACACAGGTATGAATATTTTTATCGTTCTTGATCTTTCAAAACTACTTTCCAAAAATGTGCATTTCCCTGACAACCAACACTGCCCTTGATGGGCTGCTGGAAGGCTCGGCAGTGTGTTCACCACGCTGCAGAAGGAACACATGTCCTCCCCTCACTCAGCAGGGACACTGAGTCACAGGGCACTCTACTGCCACCCCATGCCTGTGTCTGGCTCCTCAGCATGAACGTCAGTGACCGACGGGGAGCAGGAGGAAGGAGGGTCCACGTTCTGTCCGGCTCGGCTGCCTTCACGGACTGGGCGCAGTGAGAACCTGACAACTAGAAATACCAGCATCTGCTACCCCTGGTTATGAGGCTCCACTAGTTCTAAACCCTGACCTCCAAGTGACCACGCGGCACTTTGGGGGTGAGCTACTGGTGGGAATGTGGAACTGATAAAGGCAGGTCAATAAAGAAAGCGAGAAGCCACTGGCTATAACATGAACGTTCGCTCATGGGTAAGCAAAATCATGTGATTTAAATTCGGCCCAGCAGAGGGTTTAAAGCTATAACCCAGGGCTATAAGGGATCACCCCTGAGCAGTTACAGAAGAGGTACGGGCAACATTCAGTTCACACAGGGAGGAAATATTGAAAAGTTATCTCGAGGGCTATCAAGATGAGGCCATGAATGTTTGTGTAACGGTTCTGTCGCATTTATTTGGGCTGTAAAATTGTCAGCTCACCTCGGGGGGCTGGCCTGGGACGGATGCTGCGATGCTAATGGCAGAACCGTCACTCTAAGCTGCAGGTGAAGGACGTGGTCAGTGGAGGTAAGGAACTGCAATTAGTGACTTCAGTTTGCAGTCGCTCTGGGGCCCCGAACTGGCCACACCAGAAAATGACCATGAGTAAATTGGTCATTAAAGCCGGCCGCACTTTCACCGTATCAACTTTGGGAGTTGGCATTAGATTCCATTAGAAAAATACACAGATTACTCAACTGCAAGTAGACAGGATGACTGGATGGCTCAGAGAAACTGATGAGCTCTGGGACTCATTAGACAAAAATCCTGCTGGGGAGGAAGGAGCGGAGTGGGACGCAGAGAAATGAAATGTGGCCCCAGTTTCAGGTCTTCGCTGCTGCCCTCATCTGAAGCGGCGCACGTCTCCTCGGAACGCATCTCAGCCTGACTCAGACGCAGTGCACCTGGGCGCAGTCGCCAGGGTGTGGGCGGTGGGGAGGCAGCGGTGGGGCTGCGTCCTGAGCGTTACACGGTGGCGCTGTGGGAATCAGCTGAGATACGGGACTTGACGAAAAAGTACCGACTGCCCCAGATACTTCCTAGGGCCCAAATCTTTCAGCCGTCTTCACGCTGCTGGGAGGATTCAATGAGAATAGTACTTGGCATGC